CCGAGACGGGAAGTGCAAAAATGTACACAAAGATACGGGCCTCCGGCTCGTCAACGGCCCGTCACTTCGACTGCGCATGCAGGGTTGTACATTTTTTCGCTTATTTTCGTCAAAAACACCCTATAGGGCCTCAACGGTTTGAGCTAGAGCTAAACCGACAAATAGTTTGCCCGATCCCGATAGACTCTTCTTTGATAAGTTACTCTCTGGGAAACCATTAAAAAATAATTTCAAACAACGTCATTTTTGAGACATGTTGTTTTTGATATTTTAAAAATCCAATTTTTGAGCTAGAATGCTCATCTTCGAACTAGCTCTGTATTTTTAGCCCGCCTTCTGCTTTGGAAAAGCAGGCTTATGCAAACGACCTCGTGTCTCTCTCTGTGTGTGTGTGTGTGTGTGTGTGTGTGTGTTTGTTCCACTAGAAGGAGATGTATTAGAGGCTTCAAATTTTCAGGGTATCTTAAGGTTCACTCCTAGAAAACGAAACGCCTACGGCAAATCCTGTCAGCCACCTCTAAGCTGAAAGAAAATGAAGCAGGGCAAAAAAGTCAGAAAAGAAATATGTTTTTTTATGATCTTTTCAGGAGTAGCTCCCCTGGGTAAAAAAACCATGGGGCTGCCCATGAGCCATGGACACAAATTTAACCATGGATATTTGTGACCATAGATATATGGAACCAGTAAACCATGAAAACAACAGTTGACCATGAGTATATGGTGAATGGATTGCATTGCCATGGCTAATGTGCTCCATGGCAAGGGGTGACCATGAGAATTGGCTTTCATGGTCACAACTAAGTGCATGAATGTGTCCATGGTTACTATTACCATTGTCATGTAGAACGTCCATGAACACACGTTTGGACATGATACTGTTGTCAATGGACACAAAGACCATGACAGAACTAATCAATGGCCAACTGTATTAGTTCCTCATGGTCTGTGTGTTCATGGTCTACGTTTATCATGGCGAGCGTTTGTGTCCATGGGCGTGGAGTCATGGTCACAACCTTCGACCATTGGGACACGTCCATGAATACAACCTGGTTCATGACAAGCCATGCACCTGGGACCATGATCAAACGATAGCCATGTCAATGTCAAAGGTACTTTCCATGGCCACATCGTTTCATAAATCTATGAACAAGAAATGACCATGGCAAGAAGGCACAATGGTTCATGGTCAGAACGTGTGTGTCCATGGGAGCAGCTGGCTGCTAGCTGGCCATGGAATTGATTTACCATGGTCGGTGTCCACAGAAATTGATTTACCATGGTCGGTGTCCATAGAAATTGATTTACCATGGTCGGTGTCCATAGAAATTGATTTACATAGCCAGGATTGTGGCCATGGTACGTGTGTGTTCATGGTCAGAGTACCCACAGAGATTGATTTACATGGCCCGAACCCTGGCCATGTAAATCAATTTCTGTGGACACTCTGACCATGAGCACACACGTACCATGGCCACAACCCTGGCCATGTAAATAAATTTCCATGGACACTCTGACCATGAGCACACACGTACCATGGCCACAACCCTGCCCATGTAAATCAATCTCTGTGGGCACTCTGACCATGAACACAAACGTACCATGGTAACAACCCTGCCCATGTAAATCAATTTCTGTGGGCACTCTGACCATGAACACTCACATACCATGGCCACAATCCTGGCCATGTAAATCAATTTCTGTGGGCACTCTGACCATGAGCACACACGTACCTGGCCGCCACAACCCTGCCCATGTAAATCAATTTCTGTGGGCACTCTGACCATGGGAAATCAATTCCATGGCCAGCTGGCAGCCAACTGCTCCCATGGACACATTTTGACCATGAACCATTGTGCCTTCTTGCCATGGTAATTTCTTGTCCATAGATTTATAGAACGACGTGGCCATGGAAGCCTTTTTGCCCATGAAATCGTCTGTCCACGGTGCAATTGTTTTATAAACCATGGCCAGAACCTGGCCATTGCTGTTCATTTTGCCATGGTCAGTTCTCGTACATGATTTTAAAACACAAATTGACCTAGTACCGTTTCTGAGTACGTGCGCATAGCACCCACCCGAACCTGTAAGGAATTTGACATGAACATTTTTTTAACATTAATAAGAAAAACAGAGTGACAGTATAAACACCGGGAAGGCAAATAAAAGGCAAATCCACAAACAGAAACAAAGATCG